GCCAAAGTATTAGTGGGTAGGTGGGGCCAGTGGGTGCTTTGTCACAAATTAGCGATGGCACTTTGGACAAATGACTTAATGTCTTGCTTGTAAGATTCCAAGAACTGTACCAAAACTCTTCAGAGGCACTTTCAGCTTAAATAAACACCTCCAGGCTCCAGATGTGCCCTTCTAACCTGAGGGTCAGCTGTAGGGACTCTTGGCAGGCTGGAAGCCACTGAGAACTCAAGGCTCCCTCTTCTGCTTTCTGAGTAATACCAGGGTTATCCATTTCCGGGTGGAAAACTTGCTGTCCTGTGGAGGAATCCTAATAATTCACCAAACCAATAATTAAATTGAGTGCTCAACTGAAATGTTTCTCTCAACACATAAGTGTAACGAGAGACCTTGTCTCCGTCCCTTCTGCCTCCTTCCCAGAGGCCCCCAGGGGAGGAACACTTGGCGGCTGTAGGGCCTGGCCCCGTGTCCTGCAGGGCAGCCTGCCATACTGTTTGTTGCTTGCTGCCGCTGTGGCTGGAGTGCATCACCTCATTTTGAATAATACTTTTTCCTGTACTTCAAGTGCGTGTCAAGGATTTGTTTCCAGTTGTGTGACTTGGGTAGTTGCACTACTTTATGTGCTATCTTATTGGAAGTAATATTTCCTTCAGAACCAGAAATGTTCCTACCTTCTTTAAAAAGAACGTATTCACTCTGCTCTGTACGGTTAGCCCTTACTTGGTAATAAAGTCCCCATCTGCGCATAGTATTCCAGATGCAACTAGGTAATGCCTCTCTGTTAGCCCAAAAAACAATGCCATAGCTGTATTCGTACATCCCTTTTCTAAAAGTCTTTTTCCATCTGATCATTCCTGTGTATTATTACTTCTTAAAATGTTGCCCTAACCCTGAGCATCATGGGGTCTTTTGTTTATTCTCACAGTGTAGCTTTGGAGCTTGGGCTCCATTGTTTCATTTCTCCTCTTTATTCTTTTGTTTTCTTTTTCCGTTTTGAAAGCAGTTTGGCAATAATGATGCTTGTAAGAGGAGGGAGGTGGCGGAAGACTGGTTCCTTCTAAATTAGCCACTTACAGAGTAGAAGTAGAGCTTTTGAAACCTTTGCCTAGAAATGTGTGGTCCCTTCACTGTTTAAATTCTGGGCAGTGCTTTTAGCTTTTATTTTACTCTCTTCTCAAGTTTGGTAAAAAATGCAGTATAGCTGAGGGAATGCTGCACAGCTGCTGTGATGCTATATTGTAGCCCTGCATCTGGTTGTATTAGTCCTCTGCAGTTGTTCTGAAGCAGCTACAAATTAATTTGTAAAGCTATCCTGGAAGTGGCAATTTTGCCCCAATATTTTTCACTCTTTACATTGTTAGACCTGACTGAAAATGTTGCAACCTCTGCCTTTCCTGCAGTATTTACATTTTTAAATATGAAAAGATGTGAAGTGTGAAAATGTGTAAGATGAATCCCAGCTTGAGAATTGCCAGACCAACAGCTGTGTGTTTGCAACAAGACCCAAATTCAAGTTCTGATAGTAATAGTATTTCACTTCTTACCAGTGCTTGTACTTTCATTTCTATTGGAAAGATACTCTGGTGTGAATTCAGAGATTAGCAATACGTGGGTAGGTAGAGGTGGGACAGAGAGAAACTTCTTGGGAACCCTGAAAAGCAACTGTGTCAGCCCTGTAACCTTGGTACTGCCATAGTGTGTAGTTCTGGTGTTTAAAAGATATCACATTTATTTCTGTTTATTCCCCATCAGTAAACTAGTAAATTCACTTCTGTAATATCTTTCATAGGAAGAACAACACGTTATACACTTACTGTTTGTTAGACTATTTAGGAAAAACTGTAATTGAAGGGTTGTAAAATCAATTTTTTAAAAAAATGGCTTTTTTGTAAAAACATACCTATAATCATCTTCTTTTGAAAGTGGATCTGGGAGAAAGTCAGTTTAGCTACATTTCTTCATGAATTTAGGGATGCTGGGCTGGCCCCACCCTCGCATACATGTCTAATTGTTACTGTTCTGTCAGTGTGCTCTATACATATGAGGTCTTCCATAAATGTCCTTTCTTTTGTTCATTCTTTCTGTCTGTCTGGCTGTCTTTTTGAGATAGGGTCTCACCGTGCAGTTCAGGCTGGCTTTGAGCTCACTTTGTAGCCTAGGCTGGTCTTCAGCTAACAGTCCTCCTGCCTCAGCCTCCCTAGTGCCGGAATTACAGGTGTGCACCACCACGCCCAGCCTATGTATGTTCTTTAAATGAATTAAAACTCTTCCCCCAGAGCCCAACCTTTTGGGGGCTTTAAAAATAGCAGTATTGTGTTATTTACCTAATAGCTTTATGCTATGAAGAAAAATGAATCTTAAATTTTTCCTTTGTTCTTTAGTATCTACCCTTAGATAACTTGAAGGTACTAAATCCCAAAAGGTCCTTGGGCCTTTAGTACCTGTTATGAAAATGGCTGTGAACATAAGGTGTGAAAACCTCAAAGCTGCTCATTGGTTAAATTGGTTGTCACATCCGCAACACTATATAGTAGAATATAACTTCTAAAAATGCTGTGATCTGACTTGGTGTTTGACAAGCTGCAATTTAGTTGACATCAGCACTACTCCTGGCCAGGTTTCAGAGTGTCTTGCTGCTGGACAGCATTCTCTAATTACAGCAAGGCATACTTCAGAGTATTACAGTGCAGGTTACAGGTGCTACACAGCTCAGCGTCTGAGCAGGGTAGCATCCTCGGTGCTTCTCCTTACTGTGTGAACTTCGCCTGTGCCTTCCTCGGGTACCTTGGATCAAAATCAGATGAGAAAAAAAAAATAGTCATGTCACCTGAGACATTTTCCTTCTAATTTTCTTTTAAAAATTTTTTAAACATCCTTCATAATTTTATATTCTTAGTTGTGTTTTTGAGATTTTTCTCCCTTGAGTTCTACCTCCTTTAAGTCTGGTTTTTTCAACTTCAACTTTTGTATATAAAATGTGAAACTTATACAAATATAACAAAGATAATGTGTTACAGGAATTTTTATTTTCTTTTTTGGTGGAGAGAGGTCCTTTTTGTAAAACAGAGTCGGCCATTATCAGTGCTTTATTGATGCTGTCAGCCCTAGAGGAAATACTGAGTGAGAGGCCTTGAGAATGACATCTTCTTAGCCTTCAAGCGCGAGGGGGCCGGGGTCCCGGAGCCCTGCGGACTGAGTGGTCTCCTCTGCCTGGCAGGGCACACTGCTGTCTACAGGGCCGCTTGGGAGGTACGCCGGCAAGGTGTTTGTGCCCTTGCCTGTGGCTGTGTCCTCCTTTCTCCAGGGTCTGTACCTTTTCACATAAAGATCTCATTTAGAGTAAATGCATGACAACAAATGTGTGGGTGTGTACGTTCCTACAGAAATATGTATGCTTATCTATATAAAATTTGTTACCAGTAGTTTTGAATGTCTCAGGTCTTTGTTTTATTTTTGTTGTTGTTGATTTTGAGAGAGGGGCTCATGGTATAGTTCAGGCTGGCCTCACCGCAGCCCTGCCTCAGCAGTGGGCTTACAGGCATGTACCACCATACCTGACTATTTCTTAGGTCTTTGAACCATGCAAAAAAGTACATTGTTTTACCTGTAATGGTTTTATTTAATAGTAGTTTATTCTGTATTATTTTTGCAAGAGATCTGAGGACATTTAGATACAGGGCAGCTTCCTTTGTATGTTATCATAGGTAAAACTGAACATTTGTAAAGCAAAGTCGTTTGCTTCCTGACTTCCTAAACAGGCAGCCGTTTTCACTTAGGAGTGCATCTTCCCAGATCACCAGGCCGTGACCTGGCAGTTTCTGCGAGGGTCTAGCTAGTCTTTCAGAATGCCTCATTGTAATGAATACTAGATGGAGTCAGAAAATCTGATTTCTTAAACTGGCCGTGTTCAGGTGATCTGAGGAGTATCATAACTCACTCCCAGGGACCCATGAATTTCCTGCTGTCAAACCTCCCCTGCCTTCTGTGTACTCCTATGATACTGTGTTCCTGGGGAGGGTTCTCCCTCATGTGGCACCTGCCATATGACCAGCTTCCCAACGTCACCCCTGCAGTACCGCCTGGGAACAGTTCTTGGGTAGCAGCAACCCCAGTGGCATACTTTTGAAGTCATCATTAGGGCAGATTATCCCTGTAGTCCTTAAAATATGATGAATTTTAGTTGTTCAAGTCCCTCGTTTTACCGCAGTGAGTGTTTTTATAGAGGAGGAGTTGAGGACCAGGCACGTGTGTGTAATTCACTCCTTGTTAGCTACTTAAGCCCAGTATGGACCCAGGATGAACCAGGCATGGGTGGGGCCAGCCCTCATAAGGGCAGCCTTTAATTTTATACTTGCAGCATTGCTAAACCAAAGCATCATTTCCAGATGACAGCCCGAGTTGGTACTAACAATTCAGAGCCTGGTTCTGAAATCTTATGCAATCATTCTACTTTTAAGGAAGTAGGTTTATATATTTTCTGCAGTATTGTTTTTATATATAATTGTCTTAATGTGTCAATATAATGGTGTCACATTTTAAGCATGTGAAAACTGGTTAGTTTCTTGGTTAGTCTTTTTAAGTAGAATTCTTTGCAGTGTATTATTTGTTTAGAATAACATCTCTCAAGAAATATTATAAATATTTGGCCAATATGGCAAGCACTAGTATTTGATAAAGTGAAATTGTAACAATGGAAATGATTTCAGAAATACTATCAGATTTCTTCTTTTTTTTTTTTAAATGAGTGATTATACCACTTAAAAAATTCCAGTTCTACCAGTTTAAAATAGTTTAAGCAGGGCTGGGGATTTAGCTCAGCAGCACAGCGCTTCCCTGGCAAGCATGAGGTCGTGAGTTCGATTCCCAGTACCGGAAGCCCCCCCCCCACACAAAAAAAAAGTTTAAGCAAGTGTTTACAGTACCCAAGAATCTGTGTAACATATGCCTATATTATTAAGATATGTATATATACTTTGATTAATAATTATTATTTTTAACTGCAGGAGCTCTTACCAAAGTAAAGGAGAGTAGGCGACATGTGGAAGAAGGGAAGATGGAGGTCCAAAAGGCTGATGGCATTCAAGATCGCTGTAACACTATTTCTTTTGCTACTTTGGCTGAAATTCACCATTTCCATCAAATTCGAGTAAGAGACTTTAAGTCACAGATGCAACATTTCTTACAACAACAAATAATATTTTTCCAAAAAGTAACGCAGAAGTTGGAAGAAGCTCTTCACAAATATGATAGTGTTTAATAACTGGACATTGGATTATGGACTCTTTTCAGTTCAAGGATAATTTCTACAGCAGAATAAAAACTGCTATCAAAGAACTATTGCCAACTATCAGTGGTGGTACAAGGGTGGTTTTGTGTTCAACTGAAACTCAGCTGAATATATAATTATGTAGAAGAGAAACAGTTAATATGGTTATATAATAGAAACAGTACCACACATTGTAACTAAATTATACTATGTATGCCTACACTACCATTGTAACTTTTGGAATAATGATTATACTATTTGCCTTATTGCTTTTTGAAGTATGGGTATTTTAGTGCATACTTTGTAGACCTCAAAACCCACAAAGGGTCTCAAAGAAGCTGGCTGGATAAAAGCCTGCTGTGGATGCCTTTTTTACTCTCATAGATTGGGATTACCTAAATTCAACCTATTCTCTGTTTACAAACTCCAACTAGAGCAGCTATGCGACTTTGTGCCTTTAGACTCTTGGTTTTTCATTTCTGCTCCTGCCCCCCTTTTAAGTAAGCCCCACATTTTCTGATCAGAAGAGTGAAAGGCCAGTGCATTTGATGACAAACTGATGATAGCCTCGTGTTGTTGGGGGTGGGGGTAGCAGAGGATCAGTCATCATCAATTTGCACAGCAAGTATTATCTCCTGGTAAGATGCTGGTGAAGAGTGAAACTCATTCTTGTCCTTGGCTATGAAGTCTGTTGGGGAAGAGACGGTGCACTGTATTCTTTTAGATGCTACAGTATCATAGCCTCTTTACACAGGTGTTCTGAAAATGAGGTGGGAAGATTTCAGCAAACATGTCTTAAAACGTGGAGAAGGAGGAGTCTGGTCAATCAGGGGATACAAGTACAGAATCAACAACACACACTCTTTATTTTAGTTCTTAGGAAGATTTTCTTTTCTTTTAGCTTGAAGATTTTCTTTTAGTACTCAGTTTTTTGTTTTTAAATGGATCTACACTGTTAACTGATTGAGACTCCACTGTGATTCACTCGTTTACGTAATCAAAAACTTTTCAGGGATGTCTGTAAATTTCAGTGTTATACGTCATGAAAAGTAGTGTTGGTTGATCTAAGGAGGGACCAGAAATAATTTCTACTATTCCAATACTGAAGGAAAAACTATTGATTTATACTGTGTTTTAAAAAAAGAAAATATTGATAAGCCCACCCCGAGGCCACTGAACCTTAAAAATTATTTTAAATATATTCTTTTATTATCATAAGGGAAATACATATGGCTAAAAAATACCAAAAAGATTCAAAAGCAGCTTCCTTTAAAAAGCACAAAGAGGTTCTGGTTTGAAATGCTGAAATCTCAATGTTTTTATAGTTGCTGAGCTAAATAATGTGATTCTTGAGTTTACGGATTTAAAAACTGTCACTGAAAGGTTAAAGTATCTACTGTTTTTATGAAGTCAAACTTACGCTGCCTCAGAACTCCAGGGTACTAAAATGGTAACACGGAAGTAGAGGTTAGTTTAAAGCAGTGGTGAGTCACAATGTTTAAAGAAAAGGGTCAGTTTGCAGAAAGTTTTAAGAAAAGGTTATGGGAATAATTACTCAATAGCACAGTTACTCTCTAAAAAGTAATCTCATATGGGTTGAATTTTTAAGATCAGATTACCATAATTTTGATCTTTGGTCAAAACTTGATACCCTAGAGTATGTAGAGCCAGATTTAACACCATGTGGATTTGTTTCTACCACAGATATATAGATATCTCCAAATACATTATTCTCTAAAAAGTAACCCTCTCGTTGATTACAAAGTACTGTTTGTAAACAAAGCCCATATATATGAAATATTAATTTTATTGCAGAAGTTTGGAGGTTATAATTATAGCATTTAAGTTTGAGTCTTATTGGACAAATAAGCACTATGCTTTTCCAATTAATTTAAAGTCACATTTGCCTCTTTATTTTGACGATGTTTTGATTTTCTTTTAAAGTAAAATCACTAAGCTTGTGCAATGGTAGCATGGAAGTTATCTGAGGTGTCTTGTATGATTGTGCTTTAGCCAGGGTGGACATAGCTTAAATTATAAAAACTAAAGATTAAAGTACAAAGAAGTATAAGTTCATGCTGCCCACATCTAAGAGAACATAGATTCTTTATAACTGATTAACATTATGCCACTGATTCGTAGGGGGTTTAAATTAATTCTTTGGGTTAGAGCCAGAAATATTAGTGTCCATTTTCATCTAAACTCTTTATTTTCGAACGTTCTTGGTCCTGTTGAAACATTTCAGTATATAAAAAATACTGCAATGTTAATATCCAAGAGAAAAGCCATTATCATGTGTATACTGGTCATCATGATCAGTGTGGTACAGTTTTTTAAAAAATAAACTATCATGCCCTTCAAGCCATCATTTGTCTTTATTTCTAGCATTTGTGATTCTGATACATGATGTGTTTGTAATGTGAGGACTATGCACCTGAGCCTGGTTTTGCTATTTTAGTTACAGAGTTGTTATGTGCTGTAGTTATAATGCAGTGAGACTGGTTCTGTGGCTATGCATTGTCATCCCATTATCCTTCCAGTTTGTTTTATCTGAGAGTACAGTTTCCACCCAGGATGGAGGAACACGTTTAAAAGCAAGCTAAACCAGCGTATGTTGGCCAGCATTAGTGTAGTAGTTGGGATTTTCATGGGCTTCCCTGTGAGAGTTGTATTTATTCGTAACAGTTCAGCAGATTCTGAAGTGCTGATTTTTAATTGTTTTAAGTTTTTTGCTATTCCCATAATTAAGAACTTGACTAATGTTTTTGTCTGTCAAGTTCAGCATGTAAAGTTTAGACGGTCATGTGTCATTCTTTACTAAGTTCATTGCTATAGCCCTTTCCCCCATTTGTCTTTATTTTCTCAGAATCAAATACCATATCTCAGTCTTATGTCTTTAAATCCATAAACATTATTCAGTTTTTCATTTCCAACTTTATCTTTGGTCAACAGAAGAAGTATAACAGGGTATTATTTATTTAAACACTAGAAATGTTAAATATTGTTTTATTTCCTTCAAAATGTTATTAGTTCAGGTTAGCCATGGTTATTTTTTTAAAAATAAACAAAAGTTGCTTTGTTTCTCAGCTTCAGTGGAATGTTACAATTGTTTCTTCATTAAGGATGAATTTATTTAATGTGAGACTTACACAGAGAAATGGAAGCATATATGCCCTGAATTAAGCTTTTGTCTATAGTTGCCATGTAAATTGTTCTTAAAACTCTAGCTAATTGTATTCATTTAAAGCCATAAGCCTTTCAGATAGTCCCACACAGTATTTGCTTATATTAGTAACATCAGTATTTAAGCACATAGTAATCCTAAATGTTTTGAAAAAATAGCTACCATGTGTCAAGACTTAACACAGAATAGGTGCTTAAGTACTTCACATACTGTCTGTCTCTGTTGGTTGCCGACTCAGACCCACCTAAGCCAAAAATACTGGGCACAGAGACTTGCTATATCCCACAAGTGACCAAAGTCCCACCTGGAATTATGCTTACCCACTTTGTGAGGATTTTATCTGGCATCTGCTTGTCTTTGCAGATCTGTCTCATTCTCCCTTTCCCTTCCCCCTGCATCCCCTTCTCATCCTCCTTTCCCTTTGTGGCTTGACTGTCCTAGCATCCTCCAGTGTCCACAGTGGAGGATCTTCTGCCATCTCTTGATTCACGTTTCTGCTTGGACCAGTGTGGACACCTGTCTCGAGACGACAAGTACTTCATAGTTTGAGAAGTTCTCTCAAAGGGTGCGTGCCAGAGAAGAAAGGAGATAGTTGGTTCCTCACAGGGCAGGCTTTACCTAGTGGTCTAAGAAACAAGCCCCCCGAGGAAGACTCCATCTTCAGTTAATAGCTGACTTAAAAAATCAGGTTTCATGTCTTTTGCCTAAGATTACACAGGCTAAGTGGTGGAGCTGAGATTCAAACAACTTAAATGTGCACTTCCTTGGGTACCATTTTTTGCTTTTTAGAAATGGCTATTCCTCCCCAGTTCAGCTGGATTGATGGGATTTCTATCATTCTTTGGGCACTGAACAAGAAGGTGCAAAGGGAACCTCTTACAGTCTGTTCTTTGTACCCATTTCTATCGGGAAAGATAAGGGTCTGAGCTATCCTGTTTTGTCTCTTAGTGGAAAGGAATACTGCAGCCTAACATAGACTGGGAAGCTTGTTAAGTGGAACTTTCTGGCGTTGTTCAGCTCTCACCTCCATGCAGATATAAGCACATTTCAGTTACCATTAAAAATGGCCTTGATCAACCATAGATTGTGACGAGTACCACTTGGTCACAGGTGGGACCTTGAGAGAGTTCCAAGCTGGTCAGCTCTCGTGACTCAGAAGTGATGGTAGAGGCCGTAGAAGGGTGCTGCTGAGCCTGGGCTCCAGGGGCAAGAATCCAGAAAACCCAGCAGTGAAAGTCAGGCCTCCCCGCCCCACCCCAGGCTTCCGAGGTGGGAAGTAAATCCAGGATTGGCTCATGGCTCTAGTGATCACAAATTCTTCTCACTTGGTCCTAATCCCTGAATGTCCTAATCCCGTTGTTCCTGTGGCAGATGCGGAGTTTCCAAAAATGCCACATTGCTTTGCCTGTCAGTCTAACTTTATTGAGTGAACCTGTTCCGGTAGTGTGCAAGGATAAGGCCAGTTGTCCGTATGAAGTTACCTTCAAGAGAGTTTGGAAACACTCAAAATCTGTGGCTTTTGTTGGTGTGTGTCCTGCCAGTCTTCCCAGAAATTATCTCTTAAGTTTGAAATAGTCACACAGGTCAGTCCTTGTTTTCCCTGTGGTTTACATTTTTGGTCACTCCAGAAAATGGCTCTCAGAACTTAGTAAATGCCAAGTTGATGGGCTTTGTAAACTGAGCTAGTATTTTGGTGAGAAAGGCAGCACTTTTGTACCAGAAACCTGGGTCAGATCCTGCTTTCCCCACTGTGTATGACCTATCTCTGTGCCTCAGTTTCCTCAGTTAGGTGGGGTAGGTCTGCTTAGATTTTATTGCATTGTTGAGGGCATTGGTTTAATCATTTAAAGGTCCATAACCATTTAGCAGTCAATACTCCCTAACAAGCATGCAAAATGATTAAAATTCTAGTGTGAGGTGCTTAATACATGGTAGCTGTAATCGTGAACTCTGGCCTTGGGCTGATTGCTTTAACCTCTCTGAGCCAGTTTTCTCACTTGTACTGGGCTATAGTATCCCATTTAGGAGAATCAAATGGCAAATGAGAAGCCCTGAGTGCAAGGCATGAGAAGACACAGTAAAGATCCCCTGTGATTACATGAGATGAAGGATTTAGCTAGTGTGAACAATAAGTCAGCTCAGCCATGGGAAATTAAGGATTCCATACTTGGGTCCTGGTCCTGATTAGTCCTGCCTAGCCCAGCCAGGCTGCAGGACCAAACCCTGTTCTAATTTCCTGCCACCTTGAACCTCAACTATGCTAGTATGGTGGCCCAACAACTTGATTGGCTCTGGGATCCTCCCAGGGGATTGGTGGAACACACTTGTGGGTGTGTGTGGTGGGTCATGGAGGTGTGGTCTAGGGCTTTCTATCTGGTCCCTTTCCCCCTTTCTGCCTTCAAGTCAGCATGAGCTGGGTATCTTTGTCATGCCCTTATGCCACGATGTTCCTGCCTTGGAGCCAGCCTACCATCAACTGCATTCCCTTTTAAAATATGAGCAAATTAAACCTCTCCGTTAAGTTGTGCATGTTTGGAATTGTGTCTTCAGCAACAGGAAGGCTTACAGGTCAGCATAGTCACATTCTGCATTCTGCCTGGAAGCCTTATTCCCCACTGCTTCCTAGTCTCCTCCTGAAGGGGTGGAGAGGGCTCAGCTCTCCTGAGACAACCCTGAAAAGTAAGACCTTGTGGGCCTTCAAGAGCTAAGTGCCCATATGTTTAAGAAGTTCTCCTGTAGTAGGACTATCTGAAGACAGCTCAGAATTCTGTTTCAACTCACTAGTACTGATTTTATTCAGTTCTTTCATATCTTAAAACTATGAACTTGCAATGTGGTCAAGGTCAGTATTTTAGCTTTGGCCTCACGCTGCATGTAGGTGTTTTGAAACCTCACTCTGTGAAGTTTAATTCAGTGCCTATTTAAGGCCTTGGGAGCAACCATGCCTTTAATCGATACGTTGTTATAGACCAGGTTAGGTACACCACTGGTTGTTCCACTTTTATTTAACCTAATCATTTTAGAAAATACAAACTCTTAGTTTTTGATTCAAACAGTTCCCTTGAGAAGAACCTTTTAAAACATTGGAGTGCATTTTAGGATTTAGCAAGTTAGGTTCAGCTTAAAACATAGTGATTCTGGGAGCCCATTGGTGTCACATCTATTTTTAATCACTTTTTAAAAGAAGCTCACCTGCCCCCTGCCTGTGTAGTCTCTTGTTTAAACCAACCAGAGTAGCTAAGTGCTAAGGCCATATTCAGTAGAAGACTGCAGCAGTGTGAGAGTGTCGAGTCTACAGATCTGTGATACGTGATTCACATTACCTTCAAGGAAAACAAATCCTGTAATCCTAAAGAAAGGGGACCGTGTTGACAAATGTTACTTTTGAATGGATCTTATTATAGATTCCATGGAAAGAAAATTTGACCTTCTAGCTATTTGTGCTGACAGATAGTCTCATAACAAATTTCACAGTTATTTAAAAGATTAAAAGTAGGGCTAGGGATTTAGCTCAGCGGCACAGCATCTGCCTGGCAAGCACAAGGTCCTGAGTTCGATTCCCATACCAGAAAAAAAATGATTAAAAGCTATAGGTATTGGTCATTGCAGCCAAATTAAACCTCTCGTCCTATAAATTGTGTGTTACTAACACAGAATTTCCTGAAAAAAATTAAATGAAAAAAGAAAAGAGCACAGCAGGATTTCATATAGCTACCCTTTGGGTAAAACAAAATAAGTGTTTGCTTTCATGTATGTAGATTATTTCCAGAAATTAATTGCCAAAATTTGTAACAGGGCAACATTGTTTGCTTCTGAAGCTGGGAATTGGGATGGAGGAGGTGTCTGGAAGGAGAGTTTTCATTGTGTGCTCTGTTATATTTCCATGATTGAATGTATTTGCTATTTACAAAGCAGCTGAAGATAAAGTTTCAGACTAATGGAGGGGGTAGCAAAATTTAAAAAGGAGTCAAATGATGGGTGGAGCTAAGCCCCATGGCAACCCCTGTGAAACTTGGACGCGAAGTGTACAAGGCATACGAATAATGGACTCTGATTGTGACCAAATTGGTCTTCATTGTGTTACTTTTGTTGATAATGAGCATTAGGAGTGTACTATTTTGAAAATGTTTAAGGTGGACTGTAAAAACAGATATGACCAGACCACAGTCAGTTGTTTTATATGACACAAATTATTCTTTTGTCTTCTGAATCAAAAGCCCTTCCTCCGTGGCCTGTGGAAGCTTTCTTACCACTGTCTCGCCAGCATCTTGTCCCTTCTCTGCACTCCTTCACTTTTGTAATGGCTTTTAGCAACTAATTACTTATAGATCTCGAGCTAATAACAATTTATTTTTCTTACTGTTTATATATGGAATCTTTACTATAGGTACAGTGCCATTTCCTGCCATAGATCTATTCTTTTATCTGCATTTTGTGATTTTTTTTTTTTCTTTTTGTTTTTTTTCTGGTACCGGGAATCAAACTCACAACGTTGTGCTTGCCAGGCAGGTGCTGTGCCGCTGAGCTAAATCCCCAGCCCCTATTCTTTTATCTACAGAACTCCCCTACTAATCCCTTGTGCAAACAAGAAACTGAGGCATAATGGTCATATACACAAAAGTGCAGAGCTAGGATTAGAATTCAGGTCACCTGGTTCTAGGACCACCAGCTCCACAGGTCTTGTTCTTACTTCGCCACTTACTTGAGAACACCAGGTGAACACCATGACATGGTTAGGAGGTTATGAGGGTCTCTCCCTGAGGGCAAGGCCCATCCCTATCATACACTTCCCCCGGGACCCCCAGCTGCATCCCAGGCCTGAAGCAGTAAATTCAGTAGAAATGTGGTTTTAAAAACAGAAGACCTTTGTGCTTCAAGAGGTTTGTGAATAATACTAAACTGAACTTTATGAAAGAAATGAAATGAAGAAATGTGAACTCTCCGTGTTGGCATCACCAGTGCAGGCAGTTGCCCTCCTCCGAGGGCAGCCCTTCACAAAGACAGACCTCTGTTCTGGTTCCAGGAGAGTGGCGGGCCAGGCGGTGAAAGGAGGAGCCAGCGGCCACAGTGCGGCTTTGTTCAGCAGGGTGCTGTCCTTGTACACCAGCCTGCGGGATGCAAATTTGTGCCTCGGCGACCTTACCTGGTACCACACATCACACCCTTCTGAGTTCTTGCCAATGCCTGTCGTTTTGATTGTCAAATCCGTGTATGCCAAGCTGCTGCTGCTTGTTCTTCCTGAAGGCAGCTAGTACAGTCTGGAAGAAAGGCTCCTATCCTACTTCAGGAATCAAGAGGAAAGCTGGCCTCCAAGTGGGTGGGTGACTGAGGAGTCTCACAAGAGGGTAAGACTGGGGGACCTACCATCAAAGCTTTTGGAGTCTGAAGCTCTAAATGCCAAGAAAAAGCAATCACTTGCTACTCTGATTCTTTTATTCCTTCAGTAGAAATGAGACCAGACATCTGACCAGCATGTTGTCTCCTGTGGACAAATTCTGTGAGAAACCAAATCATCCTCGTCAAAGGGTTGCTGTGAAAAGGCAGCTACCCTGATGCAAATACACAGTGGGATAAGTTAGCTTTGCAATCTTGATGAAGCGTGGTAGAGATACCCTGGATACTGATTTACAGATTCCTTCATTCAACAAATATTTATTAAATATGGCTGATGTGGTAGGCACTAGGAATGCAGCAGTGAACATTTACATTCTAGTTGTACGAGTGTGTGTAGACATTCTAAATATGCTAGTGAAAGAGGCAGTCATTAGAAGGTGATAAATGCTGTGGGGGAGGGGAAGGATAGGGGGAAGAAGGGAGGAAACAACAGGAGGGAAGAATGGTCATGAGTGTTATTTTAAATGAGGCAGGCAGGACCAGACTCCCAACCAGAAGAAAAGATCTGAAGGATTTGACAGCAAGTCATGTGGATAATCAGAGGAAGAATTCTTCAGAGCATCATCAGCAGGTATGAAGGTCCGGAGGCAGGAGCACACTTTGTGTGGCTGGGGTATGGAAGGGGATGTGGTGGGAATAGGTGAGTGGGGAAAGGGTCCACATAGGCTCTTAGGATGTGTGCTTTCTCTCTGAGTGAGACGGGGCATCCCTGGAGAGTTTGGGAAAGATTATGATCTTCATGTGGTGATGGGAGCATTTTGGCTGCTCAGGGGAAGTGGACAAGAAGTGCAGAAGAAGAGTGGATAGGAGGGTTGGTGATTGTTCACACGTGGTGGATGGACCACTCCAGGGTGGTAGCAGTAGAAAGTGGGGGTGGTCGAGCTGAGTCCCTTGACCAAGACATCATTTCCCCATGACAGACCTTGGCAAGCACTGGAATAGTTTCCTCCCATGTATCTTACGCTTCCATTGCTGACAGCCAGCACCTTTTGATTACTAACTTTTTTCTTTGTAGTTTAGTAATCATTGTCCCTGACTTGAGTCATTTATTTTCCTCAAACATGATCTATTAAGCACTGATTATATTGATTCCTAGAGAGTTATTTTATTTATAAGTTCTTGGAGCCACCTCACCACTGCCCCCAACCGGAGATCAGACACAGAAAATTTTCCTTCTAAATTGCCAGGAGCATGCATCTGTGTTTCAGCAGTAGATTGGCCATCCTAGCCTTCCGAGATCCATCTTTCAGTGCAGTTGAGTCTGTCCAGCTGCCATAGGGGATCTGCCATGCAGGGGTCAAGTAAAGCCCAGTGGTTCCCTTCCCATGTACTCTGAGAACCTCAGAACCTCACAACTGCCTCGTCACAATGGTGCACATGATGTTTGCAAACTGAATCAGCAAGCTCTTGTGGGTTCATACACACCGGATGCCTTGCTCCTTGTGGTGGGGCCTCCGTTGAGCTCTTGTTCTGGTTGTCAGGACCCTCTGCTTTTCAACACCAGACTAGCCTTGGTGAGGCCTCCCTTGCACCTTTTTTTTTTTTGGTACCATTTGTTTATATATTTTTATCATCATTTGTCTTGCAACAAATAACTGGTATAAAGGATTTTTTTCTCACTCCTACTTTTGGCTATGGTATTTTTGGAACCTGGTTTTACATTAGCATCACCTGGAAAGCTTTCAAAAATATTATGATGCCTAGACACCAGTTCAGACCAATGGCACCAGCATCTGGAGGTGGGATCCAGGCTTCAGCATGTTTTCAAAGCTCCCCAGATGATTATGATGAACAATTCAATTCCCTTTCTTCAAGTTAATATAAACAGGGCTTCGCACTGCAGACAGTTCAGGCTTCACATTCACCATGGGGCTCAAAAGTTCCCTCTGAGGGAGCCCTGACAGACTCACAGACAGTCATTCTTTAATGTAGTGGAGCTTACAACCCAGAAACAGCTCCAGGCTGGCGGGGGTGAGGGGTGTCTTTCTGGGGTACAGCCATGGCCAGGAGGAAGAACAGGATAGAGATTTCCAGAGCTGCCTTGTCCTTTTCTGGCCCTGGAACTATGGGGAAGATCTCTTAATCCTCCCTAAAAACAAGGTTCTGTTACCAACGTAGGAAAACTGAGGGTTAGAGAACTTTACGAAGTTAATCCTGTGTGTAGCATTTTGGAGTTTCCTGGCCTTCTTGTGCCACCCCACCCACATACCCACACTGGACCTTATGCCAACTGGCCTTTTGTAAGCTGTTTCCTCTGCTGATTCGGCTTTCCAAGTCTCCTTTGTCCGACTGAATTGTGTTCGTCCGTTGGGACTGGGTTCAGGCATTGCCTCCCCCTGGCTGGTGTCCCCATCCCGCCTCGCCACGCTGCCTTGGTCGGGTGTCCCTCCGTGTGTTTCCACGATATCTCTGCTTTCCTCGGTCTTGACATCTGTACTTCATGTCACTCTCTTGACCTCTCCTTTTCCTCCTTCATTCAGTGGGCTTCTTCCTGGCATATTTATAGATTTACAATAACAATGAAATCAAGATTGGCTCAAAGGTAGTACAGTTTCACTATTGTGGTTTATGTGGTGTTTACAAGCACAGCAGCTTAATTTGAGGGATTTCTTTGCTGTGGTGTCCCTACCTTCTGCTTTAAATTGGTTGGGAAGCAGTAGCAAAGAGGCGAAGGAGAGGTTGACCGCATCTTCTCCTTGGTGGAAGCCTAAGATCTTCAGCGTCCACAGTAATGGGTAAGTCACTGGGAATGCTGCCCTTGCAAGGAATTAATGTAGTTCTTGGACATTCCAATTAGTTCTCAGGAAAATTAGTTATTATGAAAAGAATAAGCCTGGCCTCCGAATCTCTCTCTGGCTTCGTGTCTCACCACGGCATTTCTTCTGCACCTGTTCCTCCTCTTGGGATGCCATTAGCCACAAGGCCCTTACCAGAGTCCAAAATTGTGAGATAAATAACCCTTTTGTTCTGTATTTCCCTGAAAGTAAGACCTAACTGGAAAATAAGCCCTAGTCATTACCATGGTGATGGCCAGTGTCCTGCGGGAAATTATACCTCCCTATTCTCTGGCTTGGTGGATACTCTCTTATGACAGGTAAGGCAAGGTGATTGGGCCTGGCATCTTTGATCTCTAGATTTTAGGCTAATTATTTTATGGGTAGGTCTTATTTTCAGAGGGAAATATGGTAATACAGTTGTTTACGTTTTTTTGTCACCAATGATGCTGCAGTGAACATTTTTAGTCATTGTATAAGTTGCCTCTTGTTGCTTAAAACAAATTACCATAAACTCAGTAGCTTAAAATAACACAGATTTATTACCTTATAGTTATGGAGGTCAGAAATCCAAGAGAGATTTAGTAGCTAAAGATTAAAGTCTCACAGGGCCATCTTCCTCTTTGGAAATTTTAAGGGAGAATCCATTTTCTCGCCCTTTCTAGCTTCATGAGGACACCTTTGTTCCTCCACAACTCCTGGTCCCTTCCTTCAAAGGCTGGTCTGGTCTTCCCTACACTGAGTCACTCCGACACACACCCTGCTTCTGTCTTTCCTGTCCACTCTAGAAGGACCCTTGGTATTACACTGGGCTCACCAGCTGTAATGCAGAAGACGCTCATAGTACAGCCAGCTGATGAGCAGCTTTAATTCCACATACAACCTGAATTCCCCTCTGCAATGAACATGTACGCATAGAGCCTCAGCCTTAACGGATTAGTGTGAACATCTTTGAGAGGAGTCTTTCTTTGTTTTACCATAGTCACATGTCCTTGAATGTTTGTGTGATCACCTCTGTGGAATAAATTAGCTAGAAATGGTGTGTACAAAAGATTTCAATTGTGCCCATAAAAGTTTAGATTTCTACCTCACTGTGTGTGAGCCTCTATTTTTCTCAACCTAACCAGCCTGAATAGTTCAATGTGTTAAATCACTGCCAATCTTACTGCTAAAAATAAGTTAATATTTCTATAGTGCATGGTGATGCATGCCTGTAATCTCAGCACTCTTGGAGGCTGAGGCAGGAGGATCCCAATTTCAAGCCCAGCCTGGGCAGTTTAGCCACTTACTGAGAACTTGTCCCAGAGTAAATAAATAGAAAAGTACTGGGGGTGTAGTTCAGTTCAAAGGCTCTGGGTTCATCCCTGTATAGCAAAACAAACAAGCAAACAAGCAAGCAAATAAATAAATGCCAGTCAGTATTCTAAAATCTGAAAACTGAACAGGCCTTACATCTTACATTAATATGGTGAGGAGACACGGAAGTGCCCAGGGTTCAACATGTCAGTTGTATTTGTCTTTTTTTTTTTTTTGAGGTACAAGGATTTCTTGTTTTCTTTGGTTTGGTTTTCTGGTTTGCAGACAAGGTTGTGCTGTGCATTTCAGACTGGCCTTGAACTTTGTAGTCCAGGCTGGCCTCCAACTCATATTGATCCTCCTGCCTCAGCCTCTTGAGTGCTGGGATTACAGGCGTGTGCCACCACGTCCGGCAAGATACTGGGATTGAATACAGGTAGTGTTGAGCTACATCCCCAGGCTCTTGTAATTTATTTATATATTTTTGAGTCTGGGTTCTGATGAATTCTCCAGCTGGCCTTGAATTTATGATCTTCCCTCCTCAGCCTTCTGAGTAGCTGGGGTTACAGGAATGGACTACCATGCCTGACTTGGTTTGCTTCTCAAAGAATTTATGAAGTATTTTTCATCTGCTTTTCTTTTCAAACAGTATTTTGCCCAGGTCAAATTTAAATAATTTTGTATTCTCTAAGCCCCATCAGGTAATGAGTAAGTACTGTATACGGCACAGAGATGGTGGCAAGTAAAATACTTCATGATGGATCTTTTCTTGCTAGCAATTCATAAAGTAGGATCTGAATCCACTAATTTATTAACTTATTAATTTGCCTGTTGGTGTTTAATCATACACCTATTAGATGCTAGGCAGCACCCAACCTCTAGAAACTTACAAAGCAGTAGAAGGGATGACATAAGTGACAGTACATGGCACATGTTATGGCCTCGATCAAGCATGTCCCCCAAAGGCCTCAGGCATTCATAAGTGAGACTTCTTTGTCTTTTTGTTTTTTGTCTTTTTGAGACAGGGTCTCACTATGCAGTTCAGGCTGGCCTTGAGCTCACTTTGTAGCCAGGCTGGTCTCGAACTCACAACAATTCTCCTGCCTCAGCCTCCTGAGTGCTGAGATTACAAGTGTGCACCACCATGCCCAGCATGAGACTTTTGGAAAGTGATCGAATCATGAAACCAGTATAGCTGACTTGCTATTGGGAGATGAGGACTGGTTGGAAGAGGGGGTTCACTCGAGGCGTGACCTGGAAGGATCTGTCTCCCAGCTCCTCCTTTCTCTCTCTGATTCCTGGCCACCATGATGTGAGCAGCTGTCCTCCTTGGCAGGCCCTTCCACCATGCTGTCTTCTGAGTTTGAGCCTGCTGAATATAGACTGCAACTTCTGAAACACGATCCAAAACAAATCGCTCCTTTAGGTTGGGAGTGTTGGGTATTTGCCACAGCAAGAAGAATGTGACTAAGACAACAGGTAACTTGAAACTTGACTACAC